CAAAACAAAACATTACAAGTTAATCACATATGCATAAAAGAGTAATCTGTATGAAAAACACCCAGTTGAACAAAATGCATAAAACAATGATATTTATGAAAAAAAACACATAAATAGTTGAGAAAACTCACTGGCTAGAGTTGAATTGCAGGATTGTGAAGAATATTTCAAACAATTTTGAGTGTTCAGTGAAGAAGNATTTATTATCAATACCTTATACGTGAAAATTCGAGATCCAATGAAATCTCCAGCAAAGAGTTCGCCGGAGAGAAGGAAAACGCCGGAGAAATGGAAGTCGCCAGAAAAAAGACAGAGACCGGAGATCGTATTTGAAGTTTAGAGAGAAACTTGTCATTTTTTTGAGTGCAGAGAGAGTGGAAGAGAAAATGTCTGTCTTGTGTTTAGGTTTTGGGAGTTTGACGGGTTTGTTTGGGCACCTAAATGGGTTAGAATTGGGCTAACTATTTTAATGGGTTGAAATGGGTTTAGCCCGAAATGACCCATTAATAAAATTGTTTCAGCCCAACCCATTATTTGCTGGCTTAGTTGGGCGGGTTAGTTGGGCCGGGGCTCAAAATGCCACACCTACTTCCTACTTTCATTTTTCTTAGTGCATATGTATATTGTAGTAATTTGTGATTTATTGTATATTTTTCTTCTTTATTCTTCCTTATGATGTCATTATTAACAAATATTATGCTTTATTATAAATTTAAAATGCTCATTTTATATGTCTTCTAGATAGACTAATAAATAATGTTCATTTTTCTAATTGCTTTATCATGTAAGATTTCAATAATAAACTAAAAATTACGATGTTGAGAGACAATATATATGCAATGTAAGAGATAACTCAATAGAATTGATGCCAATAAATTTAATAAGAATTCTTTTAATGAGAAAGAATTTTTTAAACAAAAATACTACAATTTCACAAGTTACATTAGCTTTACTTAAAGGCGTAATGGCTTCCTGGCCACTTAAACTTGCATCAGTTTGTAAAGCCGATACATGAACTTGCACTTTTTCCATTTGAGCACTCCAACTTGATGCGACAAAAACTAATAAACACTTTTGACTGTTGACTATGCCTATGTGAAAGCGGCGCAACTGACATGGCTAAATTGTGTGCATATCACGCTACAAAGGCGCGTGGACAGTAATTACTTTTATTAAAAAAGAAAAAAAGAAAAGAAAAAAGAGACCTTTCTCCTTTTCTATTTTCCCCTCATGATGTCTAACGAAGCATGTGTTCAAGATGAGCAAACAATATTTGGCAAATGTCTCCTTGAAGAGCAATGTCAAGGTGCATCCACTTGCTATTCTATTAAGATAGTCACAAAGAATAATGAGGCTTGTGATGATTAGGAGGAGGAATAGGCCATTTTGAAGGTATTTTAACTTCCAGTCCGTAATTAGATCTTCAAGATTATTTTAGTCCGGATCCATCCTAAACCAAAGAGCATCGGGATCCCCTTTTGGAAATTAATTAGGAAATGACAACAGTCTTCCCTACCAAATCCAGAATGACCACCTGAGCTGCTGCTATTAGTACTGACGGCGTAGACGGACGGAAAGCCTAACGGGTAGGCCTGAGATCGGTCGGGTTTGAAGAGGCCATAATTCCTGTCCGAGCTAGGACCAGGCTTGAGTTTCTCGTTAAACAAGGCAAAAACGTATATGTTCAAATCGAAGTTAGGCCTCATAGGCGTTCCCTTCTTCTGACCAATAAGCTTCATTAGAAATTGAAAAGCTGTTAGAAATTAGAAATTAGAAATTGAAAAGCTGTTAAAGCTTATTTCAGACCAGGTGTTTGATAAGTCGGTGTCGATTGGGCGACTCATCACTGACTACCAATTAGATGGTTGCGATAATGGTGATGAAGCTCTTGATTATGATGTTGGTGTAGCAGTTGAGTTTGAGGAGAATGAAGACGAAGAAGAAGATCAAGAGAGTGAGCTTGATGATGAAGAGGAGGATGATGTTGGAAAAGAGATGAAAAGTAAAGGGCCCACAAATTGGGATCTTGAATATACAGGTGTCAACAAATGTGAATGAATGGATGACGTACCTATATAAAATATTAAATTAAATCCATGTCAGCAGCAACTGAACAACACGCACCATAAAAAGTGTTTATTAGTAGCCATTTTTTCATGTAAAGGTGTTCAAATGGGAAACTCAAGAGTTTATATATCGGCTTTACAAACTGATGCAAGTTTAAGTGGCCAGAAAGCCATTTCGCCTTAATTAAACTATAAATCTTTTTGTGTAAATTATTGTGAAAGAAAATAATATTTTAGTTGCCAATTTGAGATAATTAAAGTAAAAAATTCACATTTAGATATTAAAATTTATGAAGTATTATTTTTTTTGAGTAAATAATACTAAATATCACATGTTAGTTACCCTGATCAATCTAACACTGAAACAGTATAAATCAAACGAAGAAATGGGAAAGATAAATGGGACCTGCAGGTGCATCGCTGAGCTCTTAGGGACGAAGTTGGGTGGGGTGGGAAGTGGGGCCCACGTGAGGGGTTGGAGTGTAAAAGTGTGTGGTGATGTTTGATGATGTAACTCCAGGGACAATTTAGTCAAAACACTCAAAAGATTATGTTGAAACTACAGTAAAGTAACTTTTTTTAAGCAATCATATTGCTACACTTTAACTGAAATTACCAAAACGCCTTTTAGGTGTCAAACAGGCATGTTGACCATCAGCTGCTTATTCTCTCTTATATTCCCTCCGTTTCAATTTATTTGAATCTATTTGACTGGGCACGGAGTTTAAGAAAAGAGAGAAGACTTTTGAACTTGTGGTGTAAAATGAGATACATATATTTCGTGTGGCTATAAATCATTGATAAAGGTAAATTGTTTCCAAATAAGAAAAGGGATCATTCTTTTTGGCACGGATAAAAAAAAATAGGTACACATAAATTGAAACGGAGGGAGTATATTAGTAGTAGATATAAATAGGTGGACCCCTTTTTATCTGTTCTTCAGATCGCTTCAACCACACATTCTTTCTCCTCCTCCCCTTTCTTCTTTAGATATTATTTCATTCTCTTTCTTCTTCTTTTTTTTCCTACTTGCTACAGTTAGTCATCGGCGTCGAAAATACTGTTCATCGCCCCAAATTTGAAATACTATCATGAGTCCACCAACCAACTGTCCAAACATAGAATCTTAGGCTCAAATTCAAGTCCACTGGTTCAAATTAGAAACCTTCGATCATAGCAATAATAGTGTGAATGATGAAATTGTTGGTTCCGTTGAAAATTTTGGCTGAAGGTATCATTCTGAAATAGTCAGGTAGCAAATATTGGTTGTTTTGAGTGGTTTGTGAGGTTGGTTTGGGTGTTGTTTCGGTCGAATCTTAAGCTAACGGTGAGCACTGGGTCTCCGACAATCTGATTTTTTCTTGTTTTCCTAATGCAGATCTTCTTTTTTGTGCAATTTTTCTATCTGGTATTGGTTTTCCCTTTTGCTTAGTATTATTATTTAATTATTTTAATGGTTAATTAGGAATATTAGGGTAAAACTATGAGTAAACAAAAGAAAAAGAAAAAGAAAAAGAAAAGGAGGAAAGTTAAAAGATTTCTGACATGGCGCTGACGTGATATTGACGTGGCACGCGTGTAAAACATGAGACTGGTACTAGTGTTTCGGTGGAAAATAATTCACTCCAAATACATTTGGGTGGGGGTGTTAAAAGAACACCCGTTTAGTTTAAGTGTTTAGACCTGTTTTTTGAACAAGTTTAATAGGGTCTTTATGTATTTTGCATTAGCTAAGTTATCTATTTCTTTAATACAAGTAGGGGTGGAAAACAGACGGGTCGGATCGCATACGGGCGGGTAAAAAATGGGTAATAAAAAATGAATAAATTATCCGACCAGACCCATATTTAATACGAATAAAAAACGGGTTAACTGATAGATAATATGGATATCCATATTATCTATGGCTTCTTGAATATGATCACTTTTTTGAGAGAATTTTTAGTCTCCCAAACTTGAGGAACCCATTTGAGGCTTTACAAATATAAAAGTTAAATCCATTAGTTATTCATTTTTAAGTAGATAATACGATTCTTATCTATATTTGACTCGTTTTTAAAAACTTTATTATCTAACCCATTATTAATGGATAATGGGTGGATAACTATTTTCTTTTGATCATTTTG